GAGAACGAGGCAGAGCAGGAGGCGGAAGGGGATGGCAGAGGAGGGGGAGGGGCGAGGATCAGAAGGAGGAGCAGGAGAAGGAGGAGGAGAAGGAGGAGGAGGAGGAGGAGGAGTGCGAGGGAGTGTCAGGGGGGATGGGCTCGAGGTTCGAGGTTTTCGGTTGCCTTCGTCGGCTCTCGTCTGCTTCCCAGCCTTGGGGTGCTTTCCAACAGCGGCTCCTCGGCGAGGGCTCTCCAGGAGTGCCTGATGGGTCTCCCCGAACGGCTGCAGGAGGGCCGAGTTATGACCCGAAAACCACTGGGGACAGGGAGGGGCTCAGGGGGGGAACGCACCGACGCCCGATCGCCCAATCATCGCCGAGAGGGGCCCGATAGCCCATCCTGCCCAGGAGCGTGCGGCTTCGCTATCGGGGGCCTGTCGCCGATCAGTCGGCGATGAATCGCCGATTCCAGGTCGATGCTTCCCCTCTTCAGCTGGTCCCCCCCCCCCATACGTGCCCCCCGAAGGACCTGGAGGGCTCGGCCAACGCCTACTTCGGCGCCATCTACCACGGCGAGATGACGGTTCTCGAATAATCATAGTACTCAGAGAAAGTAATCATGAAGATGTTAGCCAGCGTGGCCCGAAAGCAGTGTGCTTCTGGCAATACATGTGTTGCAACCTACGTGGAATAATCAATGTGGTGCCAGCAATCACTTGCTCAACTTGAAGCTGTTCTCCCCACTGCTCGTGCAAGCATCCCACCCTCCCACCCGCAACTTGGTCGCAAGACCTCCTAAGGCCGTGACGGTGGGTACCAAATGGCACTTGGCAACGACACCGACGCCGACGACGACAGCGACAACGACGACGACGCCGCCGACAACGACTACGACGACACCGACGACGTCTCCAACGACTTCGACGACGACGACAACGACGACGACAACTTCGACGACGACGACGCCGACGCTGACGACGACGACGACGATGACAACGCCGACGACGACGACGCCGCCGACGACGACGACGACGCCGCCGACGCTGACGACGACGACGACGATGACAACGCCGACGACGACGACGCCAACGAAGACGACGACGACGACGACGACGACGAGGGAGGAGGGAGGACGACGGCGGTGACGACGACAACGACGCGGGAGGAAGGAAGACGACGACGACGACGACGTCGACGAAATAGAAGGGACAACGACGCAACGCCGACGAAGACGACGAGGGCGGAAGGACGACCACGGCGACAACGACGACGGAAACGACGACGACGCCACGCTGACGACGACGACGAGGAAAGACAGAGGACGACGGCGACGACGACGACGACGACGAAGGAGGAGGGAGGACGGCGACGACGCAAGAGCGCGCGCGCACGTCTTTGTTGAAAATGCGTGTTGTGAAACCTTGTGTTTTGGTATGTTTTTTGGAGACACGATTTTGACATCTATCCGACGCCACAGGTTTTTGACGGATTTCGGCATGCGCGCGCGACGACGCGCGCGTCTGCACATGGTTTCGTTTTTTTGCAGAGGATTCTCCCGACGGCACGCGCGCAAGGGCGTTCGAAAGATTCCGACATGCGCGCGCGCGAAGCCCGTTTGGTAGCATCCCTTTTTTGGGCATGTTGAAACACCTTTGGTTTTCTTAAGATTTCGCAAGGGTGCGCGCGTAAGCTTTATTAGAAGAAAATCAGTGTTGCGAAACCTTGTGTTTTTGCATGTTTTTGGGGAACTCGATTTTGAAATCTTTCCGACACCGATGGTTCTTGACGGATTTCGGCATGCGCGCGCGACGACGCGCGCGTCTGCACCTCGTCCCATTGTGTGCACGGTATGTCTGAACACCTATGATTTGTATATGCGAGGGTGCGCGCATAGATCTTTTGGCAGGGGATGGCGGGGGGGGGAATGGCATGGCTGGGACAGTATGAGTTCATATTTCGGATGGGCGGGTGTGCAGAATAAATCTGAAATCGCAATACCAGGGGGTACCCTTAACTCCGGGGGGGGGGGTCGTGTTTTCCACCAAGAAAGGAGAACCTGCGAGGTGCAACGTGTGTTGAGCAGCATCTCTCGCGGAACATTTGTTGTGAAATTTCTGTTGTTCAGTGTGGAGCAATACGTGGTGCATTCTATCTTGTGCAATTGACGTTGTGCAAACTTCGTTGTGCAGTATATGTTGTATCACCATGTTGTGCAATATGTGTGATTGGCAATCTTCGTTGGTAGATCGACGTGGTTTAATCTACGTGTAGTAATATTTGTTGTGCAATCGACGTGATGTATTTTGCGCGGAGCAACTTATGCCTGTGGTGCACTATGCGTGGTGCAAGTTGTGTGGTGCAATCTACGTTGTGCAATCTATGTGGTGCAATCTATGTGGTGCAAATCATGTTTGGCCGCCGTGGGTTGTGAACTCCACTGCCCGCGCAATCATCCCACCCACCCACCTGCAATTTGTTTGTTGCAAATTCCATACGGCGGCGACTGCGGTGACTGCTTGGCTATGGCTTGCATCGTGGCGGCCGCGCGACCGCGCGCAGGCTCGCGAGCAGAGCGGCCAGCTGGTCTGGCGCGACCGACGCGTCCGTGGTGCCGCTGACTCGCAGCCCGCACTGGCGCGCGGGCGCTTGAGTGCGAGTTGGTGACGGGGGCGGGCGCGGGATCATGGCGACGCCGACATAGGCAGACACGATGATGATAGTAACGGTGGTGGTGGCGATGATGGCGATGACGACGACAAGGCCAATGGTGGCGCCGATGTTGATCAGGCCGGTGACGAGGATGGTGTCCACGCGTCGGCGGTGTAGGCTGCGGAAGGATTTCGACATGCGCTCGCGGCTGTCGCGCGCGAGTGGCCCGCATGATATAGTTTGACAGGGGTCGTGCCCCCCCCAACACTCGCGCAGGATGCGTCGGGGTGATGTCGATATGCGCGCGCGAGAGACCCGTGTGGTCGCATGCGAGGAGCAAGTTGACACAAGCGCAGTTGTCGCAACGATTCGCGGGAGCGCGAGCGCAGTTTTTTTGAACAATCGTGTTGCAACAACAGTTATACTGTGTTGCGTTTTCGGGGCAGCCGTCTCTTACATCTTTTCGACCCCAGGGAGTTTGTGAGGGATTCTGGCATGTGCGCGCCAATAAGCGCGTGTGTATTTTGTTAATTCTGTTGCCGGGGATTTTGGAAAGTGATTGATTTCTGATAAACGATTGTGCGCATTGTTTTATCTAGCGAAGTTGAGGGGGGGGGAACCTGGTGTGGCTGGGATGGTGAAAACTCCTGTTTCGAAGGAGTGATGGGGCATGATCGTATTTAAACTGCACATCCCAAGGGTGGACCTCAAGTTGCGGGGTGTGGGGGGGGAGGAAGGTCGATTTTGCAGAAGGGAGATCGAATGGATCATCTATGTGGTGCAGTCTCTCGATGTGGTGCAATCTTTCGGGTGCGCAATATATGTTGTGCAACCGGCGTGGTGCAATCTGTGTGGTGTGCTTTTTTTGTGCAAGCTACGTGGGTCAACCTATGTGGTGCAACTGATGTTTGTTCGCAGCGCGTTGTCAGTTCCACTGTTCGTGCAAACATCCCACCCTCGCACCCGCAACTTGGTCAGCAAAACACATGCGGCGGCGATTGCCCTTGGCGCTGGCTGGTGCATCGCTGCGGCCGCGCTACCGCGCGCAGGCTCGCGAGCAGAGCGGCCAGCTGGTCTGGCGGCGCTGACTGTTGGGGACGCCCCAGCGCGGCTCGCAGCCCGCACTGGCGCGCGGGCACTCGAGTGCGAGTTGGTGACGGGGGCGGGCGCGGGATCATGGCGACGCCGACACTTGCAGACACGATGATGACAGTAACGATGCTGGTGGCGATGATGACGATGGCGACGGCATGGTCAATGGCGGCGCCGATGTCGATGATAGTTTCACGTGTCTGCGATGAAGGTTTCGAGCGGATTTCTACATGCGGGGGCGGCCGGCGCCCGCGAGTAGCCCGCATGGATGGTTTGACAGTGATCATGCCTCCCAACACTCGCGCAGAAGACTTTCGAATGATGTCGGCCTGCGCGCGCGACGGGCCACTTCGGTCGCATGTGAAGAACACGTTGAACAACATCATCCATAATTCGCAAGAGCTCGCGCGCAGACGTGTTTTGAACAAGCATGCCGCGAAACTATCCTGCAGACCTTGTTGAACACTTGTGCTTGTTTTTGGTATGGTTTCGGGGCAACCGTTTTCGAACTCTGTTCGGATCCGAAGATTCGGAAACAAATTCGGCACGCTCGCGCGACGACGCGCGCGTGTGCATTTCGTCCATGTTGTTTCCATGCCACTTTTTGCGAATGGATGATGTTTGACAAACGCATGCGCTCGCAACATGTTTGACGGCGATGATGGGGGGAATCCGGTCCGCTCGGGATGTTCTGAATCATACATGGAAAGAGCGACGGGATAACATCATATATAAATTGAACACCCCCAGGGTGTATCGAGAATCCCCTGGGGGTAAATCCTCGTTGCTGTTTAAAGAAAGGAGAACCCACGTGTTGCAACCCATGCGGTGCATTCACTGGGGTGCTTTCCATGTTGTGCAAATGATTTTTGCACACGATTTGACACATTCCATGCTCCTGTCAACATCCCACCATCGTACCCGCAACTTGTTTTGCAAACCTCCTGCGGCGGCGATTGCGATGAATGTTCGGCGTTGGCTGGTGCATCTCTGTTGTGAAGAGTGCACTCCCCTGCCCCTCTGCCGCCCGTGCCACCATGTGTGTATGTTGTACACGCTTGTCTTGTTTTGTGGCATGCACGCTGCCCGCCGCTGTTTTGGCCCTAGTCCTAGGGCCCTGGGACGCACCCGCAGTTGGACTGCCGCGCGGTCTTTGCTGAAAACAACTGCACTGACATTGGTAGCGGAGCTAGTAAGCTCCAGCGGACGCACTGCGTGCTCTGCTTCGGTGGTTGTGACCACCCGCGTGGGCCGCCATGGCCACCAGCCACGACGGCTCAGACGTGGAGGCTGTGTCCTCCGCAGGCACAGGTCCCCCTGACCTGCATGCAGTCCTGCGCGTGATGGCCGAGACCCAGCGGGAGCTCTTGGCCTTGCATCGGGATCGTGGCGACGGCGGTCCCAGACGTACACGTCTACTGCTGTCGCAGGTGAGGCTCCCAGAGTTCGATGGTGGAGTCGGTACGAGTACTAAGAAGTACCGAGAGTGGCGCAAGGAGGTTGAAGTCATCCGCAACCTCAATCAGCTCTCAGACGTGGAGCTGGGCCTGATCATCTACAGTCAAGTGACAGGTCGAGCCAAAGAGCTCATCGAGGTGCTTGACGCGTCGGACCTCCGACGCGAGGAGACGCTCGAGACCATCTTTGCTATCTACGACGACGCCTTCGAGAAGATGGATCACGAGCGCCTCGATCAGGTGCATCAGGATTGGGAGCGAGCACACCGTCGAGCTGGGCAGCCGATCATGGATTGGACCACGTACCTGCGCAAGAAGCGCATGGAGTTGCAGCTCGAGGATCCCACATCAGCGATCAGCGATCGCGCATTGGCAAGCAAGATGC